TCCACTTCCTCGAGGAAGGCGCGAGGGCCGGCGCTGGCCAATCGCGACGGCGGATCCGTCCTCGCGATTGGCCAGCGCCGGCCCTTGCGCCTTCCTCGAGGAAGTGGAGGGGCCCTTCAGTTTAAGTGTAGTTTGGGTGAGGTTTCTGAATTCGGCGGTAAGGCTCCACCCCAACCTGCCCGCTCGGGCCCGTGCAATTCTAAATGGACCTTTTGCCATTTTAACCAGACGACGCTATGCTCCGTTCACCCTCAAGCCGAGGCTAGAAGCTCCGCCTTCAGCGCGAGCTCGCTGGCTTACGGCAGTGCTTTGATTGCGCGTGTCTGCGCTTTCACACTTGTGTTAGCAAGGGCAGAAAGCTCGCGCTGAAGGCGGAGCTTCTAGTCTTAGCTTCAAGTTGAACGGAGTACACGAGCCATCGGAACCAACGCTACTAGAGCAAGCTCAGTTTCACAGCTCCGCCTGCGACGTGGGCTCAGTGGCGGTCACGAGAGCTAGCAGCACTGCAATCGAGTCTTGCTTCCGGATTGTCTGCCCCGCCAAGCTTGAATACCAATACTTGAGCTTGGGCGAGTTGGTGATTCATACTAACACTTCACAGCCCGAAGAAACAGACACACACAAAAATAAATTTCAAACACTCAAGGAAAGAACACTCACACTGCGCTGACTCTGATCTCTGTGGTCTATTACACTTTATCTTCATCATCTTTTTTTTTTGTTGCTATTATACACATGGAAGTAAAGAAAAAAAAAACGACGAAAAGAAAAAAAGTAAAGAGAGCTCTCAATGCAGTGGTAGCAGACAACGCGCGAGACAAGTAAGCAAAATCCGACTGCAGTGCCGCTAGTTCTCGTGACCGCCACCTGGGCCACTCGCCTCTGCAGGCGAGAATAATGAGCTGCGAAACTGAGCTTGCTCCAGTAACGTTGATCGGAACCAATTCAATGTCACGTGAGTGTCACGTAGCCTTCAGAAGGCCAGCGGCGTTGTGCGTTCATCGTGAGGTAAAACGGAATATTGAAGATGTTCACGTTTGATGTGTAAATGGCACTCGTTCCCAGTTTGCGTCACCAATTAGGGCAAAAAGTGAGAGGAGTCGAAAGCTCGCGGTAACGCAAAAACAGACCGCGCTCTGGTAGGAATGATTAGAGGGTAGACGCGAAGCTAGCTACCTTCGTCTCCATTGCACTCGTTGAACGCTTTAGAACGCGGCCGAACATTCCCAAGTGGAGACAATTGTGAGTAAAGCTTTGTGTCCACCCCAGAGCTCGGTGTTCTAATACGTCCGCGCTCTTGCCTCTCCTCGTCTCCCCCAGTTTCTGCCCGCATAGTCACTGGCACGGTGAGAACGGCAAGGACGTCTTGCCCGGCCTCCAGCGCCCGTTGATTACCTTCCGCCGTGATTTGGCTGCGCGTGCATGCGTGCACACTCGAGGCTCATAAGTTGCCGAAGCGAATTGTGGAAGGAAAGGAGCACGCGCTAGAGGCTGGACTGCTCGAACCCCTCACTGGCCTTTTGATTCTCTCAGTGACTATATAATGTTTTTTTTTTTTTTTTTTTTTTTTTTTAAATTAATATTTGAAAGTAGGATATTCTCTTTCTTAAAGTGGCCATGAAATAGGGTTTCGGCTGGGATACATGATTTTAGATTGGGACTTTACTAATCGTATATCGTTTAGTGTTAAAAAAAGGGGTAGAAAGTCAAAAGTAAGCTTTTCGGCACGAACATTTGAAAATGTAACGGTCTATATCGTACCTCCTTTCCTTCGAAAGCTTTCCGCCTTTTCACTATGGTACATCCGCGCTACCCAAAACACGTCAGCCGACCCCACCTCACGCTTTGGGCACGAGAACTGCGTCACTCGGACGTATGCGCTCGTCAACAATTAATCCGTCGACGAATATTTGCGTTCGCGTCCGTGTACAATGATTGCCCTGACGGAACTTATTGTCACTTGCGAGTGACAAGTTCCATTATGTTTTTAAAAAGGACGGTGGAAGCTTGGAGTCGTCGTACCGGTGCCCAAGCATGTCTCAATGACGTGGTTTCTCTATTCGCTTTTGAGTTAAGGATTAAAGCTAAGGAGGAAGAAGTTAAAAAATCGTTTCATGGCCCCTTTAAAATGCTTTCAACCTTACAATCATTATTTTTACTTAGCTCTTACTTTATATCGGAATCGGTGTGCTGTGAATGCTGGTAAGAAAAATATGCGGGGTGTTTATTTTAATTCAAACAGATTAAAAAAAAATGCTTATACATCATACACAATACGTGAAGTTTGAAGACATGAGTTACTGCAATTTCCGTGGTTTTAATGCCGCGCACCAAGTTTCTCTCTGAGCTCGTTGCAATACTGCGTTCGAAGCACGGATCTCGTGCTGAGCTGCGTTCGAATCTGCTGGCAGACTGCCTTTTGTATGGGGTAATAATAATAATTGGGTTGTGTGTGTGTTTATACAGCCTAGAACTTGGTCTGCCTCACAGGGGCGACGAGTCTCCCAGCTGTAGATGAGAAATTTAGCCAGTGCGGTACAACCGCTAGCCTGGGGTCTTTAACGTGCATCACGTTGTATGGGGTATAAGCAGCTGACCCTGGTTTTATGCGGTCTGTGCAGGTGAGTCAAAGGGGCTGTGCAACGACATTGGGTAGAAATATTTCTTACTTTGCACCAGCTTCCTGGCACTAGTGGGACCCAAGAATACTCGAACGCAACAGCACTGACCAACAAGCGTCTTCGTCGCGGCGGAATTCAAAGGATGAAAGCGGAGCTTTTCTTTCAATCTCTCCTTCCAAAGCCGCCTTTTGCTCCTTCGCGAAATTCGATGACGGAGCTGTGGGGACAATGGCAACAGTACGATCCCCGGGAATGCGTCATCGGGCTTTGCGGTGACGATTTTCAAATGCTGTTCGCACAGTGGACGCGAAGACTGCCTAAGCATTCGATCTGGGCTCGTGACAATCGATGCCTCGAGAAGCATTCGGGTAGTGGCCCGTGTCCAATCGCTGCAACGGCGACAACAGTCGAGCCATAAGAATATCTTGAACTCAGCGCGTGTCCTGCGCTTTGCCAACCCCAGCGCGTGGCTATGATCAACACTGGCGGCATATAATCGGCTCCAGATCACGTGGCCGCTTTTTCTGGCTGCGAGTTGAGGGGGTGACCGGTGCTCGTTTTTCGTTAATTTTTTTCTGGAACTTCTATTGCGTGGGGTGAAAAACGAACGAGTGTTTCATAGGTCATTAACGTCAGGGATCCGTTTTAAGCGGTATTTGCGCAAAGTACAAAAATTGTTGCATCCTGCTCCGCTGTATGTGTGTGAACAGGCCTTAAATGGGCTTTAAGGCCTTAAAGGGGCTTTAAGGCCTGTTCACACATACAGGGGTACTCCACCGGTTTTTTCATTGTCTTCGATTTGCTTGAAATTTTGCTAAACTAACCAACAAACATTGCTAAAATAGTATCCCAAATATTAGGTGAAAATATTGTTTTTTCGCGAAGTTATTGAATTTAGAGTTTTGGTCTTCACCATGTTTTTCAAACTGAAAGTCTCTACTGGCAACAACAACAAAGTGACGTCAGTGGAAGGCATGGGTTACCTTTTTGGACTACAGAAGTTGTTCCCAACGGATCTGAAGCAGTTTCTTGGTGTCAAATGAGTGCTTTGGAAGCTCGCTCCCGTATCCGCGCTCCAGCACGGAACAATTGATTGGCATATTCTATTTTTAGACTACTTCCTCGACTGGCAAGCCTGCCTGCCACTGACGTCACGGCACTGAAAAGTGCGCGAATATTTGAATATTGGTTTTTGCACCATTTTCATTCGCCGATTTCACAATACCTATTATGTATTTCGCGATGCTAAATAGCATACCGGAAAGGCTAAAAGCCGTGGAGTCAGAAAATATAGTTAGTTGAGGTAGCTCAAAAAATCGGTGGAGTACCCCTCTAAGCACAGCGGCGACTTTGCGCTAAGCGCGTGCTGACGGGAGAATCGCGCCGTCAAAACTGTTGCTCATGGCAGACGATAAGCAGCTGACGACACGGGAACAGCGCTGTATCAGCGCTCCGCTGCATGTGGGAACCGGCCTTGGTACGACCAGGGAGACATACTGGGGAGCGAGGGGGAGGCGGGGAGAGGTTATCCCTCACGATAAGTCGGATAAATAATTAAAAGTTTTTCATCAGCTTTCTAATGAGTAAAATGAACATATGGCTTCAATTATAAACTTACCGAGCCTCATCTAAAACCACTACATCAGGCAATTTGAGAGAGAGAGTTGAAGTACGTGGTAAGCGCAGGGGTGCGCTAAAGTTTCCAATCGAGCAACAGACGTAACGCTTGCGGTCCCAAAGCGCGGATGAAAATAATATCATCCGTGTTTCTTTTTTATTTCGGGTAAGAATTGAGAATGTAGATATTTGAAGGAAATTAATGGCCACATTTTTAGTCTTAGAAGCATTTTTTGTACCATTCGGAGTTCGGTTTACAATGTAGTCAGTGCAACGTCGCCTTCCTGATATTCAATAGTAAATAAATATTTACAACAATCATATATTATACTAGTACATACGGGACAACAATGACTGTATGACCCCCGCATTGTACTCTCTGACATAGTAGCAGACAGGGGAAGCATTGACAGCATGGCATAGACTGCCACATCTCTAAACAAACTAGTTATTAAAAACTACAAAAAAATGTATGTGTGTGGGGGGGGGGGGGGTGGATTTAAGGTGGTTTCTCAAGTGTAGGTTAACGTAAACACATTTTTTAATTAAAAGAAAAGTGGTCCACTTAAAAAGAAAACGCTACGGATAAAAATTAATTTAAATACAGGCGCGTGTTTCTTGTGTGTCCTACCAGTCAGGTAACAATTTGTAAAGAAGTTTCTCGCCTCTGTGTCTTCTGTAACTTTGACAGCTTAATATTTATTCGTGCCTTTAGAGGAGCTGTTACCGTAAATGCCATGCGAGCGACATTTCTGTGTATTATTAGTTGCATATGGTTTTATTGTATATATAGTACTTTTCTCTAGGCGTTGGGCAACTGAAGATTAATGGGGCGCCTTGGTAGGCCTGTTCACAGCCATGGTCTATATCCTTCGGATCGTGACCTTCAGTCATCCACACTTGGAATTCTGAAAAACGAAATTATATTTCTGTGTTAAATAATGTGCTTCTCCCAAAGGTTTTAGTAAATCCGTTAAAATACGGCGTATTTTTTTTACTTCATTCTAAACGTTTAAAGATAGCCGTTTCGCCAAAGGCCATCACTGGGCTTCATCACTGATATAGCCGATATGCGCAATATTTGATAAAAAAGACTGAATTTGGAAACATTACGCTATATTGTTTAATGTGTTTTTTTTTTGTATTGGAAGCATGTCTGAAAATAAATAAACCACTTCGCAATGAATCTAAAGGATACTTTGGGTTAATATAATTTATATAAGCCAATCTTTTTATTATGCTGCTGTTATGTTTAACCCGAGCACCATAGTACTGGTTAAAAAGGATTATAAGCAAAAAGTACAATGCAAAACAACAAAGAAACATACGGAGAACGAACGTGATGTTTAATGCACCTTACCGTGTTAATTGTCTGACTCTTATTAGCGCGCTGTATAAGACGTGACTCATCGACAATTGAAAACAACATCCCGAGTAGAAAGGTAACTTTTAAGGTACGATGTGATAGCTTGCTATCCACACACGGTCATGAATGACTTGCTCAAACTCGGTGAAGATATGCGTGACACTTGTTGCTACTGCGCTACCAAAGCCAACAGAAAAAACAAACGCTATGTGGCTACCTAAATAAATTTACAAATAATTCAAAGTCGATAACCTTTGCATTTCCAGTCCGAAAATCCCACTACTACGTAAACAAATAAGAAACCATATTTAATTTTTACTTACGGTCGTCGTCAACACTCCTCACGGTGTGACAAGTTTTGTTGTCAGTGAAGAGGAGCTGATAATCTTTTGTCGCTGAAACTGGTCACGGGTCATGAAATGGTTAATTAAAAATCATAATATAACCAAAATGAAATTGCTCAAGATATTTACACAATACTTTTGTATCTCTGTATTTTTAGGCCAAGAAGATTTAGTAACGGCAGTGTTTTGTTAGGTTATATATATATATAATTTTATGCACTGCCTAATGAATGAAAGTGTTAACATTTTATGTGAAATCTTCTTCCCGACACATTGTAAAAGTAACATCAGTAATCTTAATAGATCTCGTAATGTTCTTTTTTTTTTTCCTTCAACATGTTCAACCGCAGTTTAAAACTTAATACCTCAAAGTTACAGCATAACCTTCCTCTACAGCAGCAGCTTGAATTAGATGACAGACTAGCAATTGATTGGACGTCATATTCAGTTACTTCTTGTACAGTTCTCAAACAAAACTGGTTAATTTTACTGCGTCGTTTCGATTACTTAGAGAGACTTAGCTTGAAGCAGTACCTGCAGCGAAGTGCAGTTGACGCTACAAAACATTTTCGCTGCGCGTACAAAACTTTAAAGTAACTATTTCGCACCTGTGTTCAATGATTCGCAGCAATAAAATATTTTTTATACGTTACTGGGATGTTATAAACGTTATCGATCCAATCAACAATACAGATCTGCACAGCTGTGCAGTTTTGTGGCCATGAAAGCTGGACTTGATTGGCACATTTATAATGATTTTGAAGGGCCTGAAAATATATATATATATATATATATATATATATATATATAAACCTTCCCTCATCCTTCGACTTTGAACACATCTCTTGAACCAAGGCGAGTGCCCCGCATTTAGATATGCGGACACTTATCACCACAGTGCGAAAACTTAATTATGACGTTGCGTCGTCAACATCTATCTGGCATTATAAAGAAAATCACAACAGTCGCGCTGCGCACTTACTTGTAGTATCCAGGGTGCCAACTGATATGACGTCATAATATGGGAGAGTATCGTTAGATTTCTTGATAGTGATAAATACCGAATTTGACTCCCTAAGGATTAACACGCATAAAGGAGTAATATAATGACATAATAATTAATACGCTTTATAGTAACTCATATTTTTATGAATAAAATGGCAGGTATTGTGTTCATCATTAGAAATAAATAAAAAGTTAAAGGGACCATGAAATGACTTTTTTACTTTTTCCAGATAACGTTTACATTAAACCGTCAATGTTCACTGAATGCCGAACAGGCACCCGTTTTCGTCTCGGTTTATTAACTTCTACACAAACAAATTAATGAAATATCGACTTTTTCTTGACCGCAAAACAAGCCGTGACGTACGCTATTTCCGGAACCGGAACTTCTCTCGGCAGTAGGAGATGGGAGCATTAGCGGCGACGAGTTGGGGTGCGCCGGTAGGTTTTACTGCGCCGATGTCACCGATGTATTTTCTGAATCGGCGCCTCTCATCGCCGCATCGCAGCTGAGCGAAATTCAACGAGATATGTTGCGCTACAGCGACAGCATGGGACTAGTCCCATACACCGGTATGCCTGTTGGGAAGTGCAGTGAGTCTTCCGGTGAAGACTCCAGAAGTCAACCCAACTGTCATTGTTGGCAAAAGGCGGCCAGTGTCAGTCGTTTGCAAAGCGACGTAGATGGAAACAAATTGCCGCAGCGTTTTTCGCGGTCTCGGAGATGCAGGAGCGAGCCGACGTTAAAAAAGATACGTTTGAACTACGAGTGTCAGCAAGAGCCACGTAAATACCTGTTAACACTCGGAGTGGACGCGCGCGTTTGATGGAAGCGCTTCGGGACCGATCTTTTACGATTGCAACTCGATACTGACGCGACACTCGGCAAAGAAAGGTTGGACCGGTATTGCACGTATACCTCTCACGAACTGTTACAGCTCGACAGTGACGTGCAGTCTGTCAGGATAAAAATGGCATACCAATAACAAAGTGTACATACCGTGTTACGAAGGTAATCCATACAGCGTTTATTTCAGCTCTATATCACACAAAACAAGAAGAGAGAATCGACGAGGGTCCCTTTTCGACGAGTGTTCGTCAACACTGCCTCGGAAAACAAGGGGAAGAGATTGACCTCACCTCTTAACGTAAAATTGAGGTCAGCGATCAAACTATTATACGGGAAGGGTCCACAAGGGTACCCCACAAGGGTAGCGCGGGCGTGTTCCATTCAGCACGCCAGCCGGTCGCAGGCAGACAGACGGTCTTGCGACGAAGCAACGCTGCGCCGAGTCGGAGTGCCTGCTAGGCCTATATTCTGAGAGCTTCGTCGGAGCGCGATTCGCGGCTGTTGTCGCTCTTCTCGGGTGTTTGTGGATCCAGCGTTCTTGTTCGTCGTGGTCTGTTTTAAGTACATTTGTTTCTTGCTGCTTGAAGTCGGCACGCGCGAGATGAACACGTAGAAAAATAAACGTTCAGTCAGTCAGAGTTTTGAGAGGAAGGAAACCAAAGGAAATAACCGTTCTGAAGTAGGCCCTGCCAGCCCTGCCCTACTGCGCACGCGCAGTAGTTGCTTCGTTTACAACACGATAGATGGCGCTTGGCTCTCAGCATTATCAAATTTGGCAATTTTCGCCACACATCTCTCATTATGCTACAAAATGTGGGTCTGAATATTATTTAACAAAACTTTTAGGAAACATTCGCCGGCTATTTATTGTTTACGATCGCGGTGCTGGTGAGGTAGGCTCTTACCCAATAGGCGACGTGGATTCGGCTGACGTGCTCCATTTCTGCGGATGCATCGTAGTGAAAAGGCAGAGCTTTCGAAGGAAAGAAGTCGCAAAAGAGTCCAGTTTTCTTTTAAAAGTTCTATAGCAAATAATTTTTTTTGGCTCCCTAGTTCTGTGTTTTTGTGTTTCTTTTCACACCTTTTACGACGTGCGGTGGATGAAATTAGATTTTAAAATCATTTCATGGTCCCTTTAAATTGTAAGTTTATTACCTGAATTAAAAAGGAGTGAAAGGTTGCGGAAAAGAAAGACATGCAAAGAAAAAAGTGCAAGAAAGGCAGTTGTAAGGTATGCATAGCAGCAAGACCAGGTATCATAAATAAAAAAAAAGTGCTTACGCTAGGCTTCAGAAAAAAGTTTAAATTCGTCAAGCGTTTGTACTTACATTTGACCTGTTTTATCATCTCTATAAAGTATTCTGTTCTTCAAAGTCTTTTGCGCAGTGTCAATATCGTAGGATTTTGTTTGAACGCACTTTGATGTTCCTCCCATTAGCGTATCATTTTCATTAGAACGGTACAAGAGGTAAAATTTCTTTTTCTGCGACATAACCTGCAATACAACACCGAGACAACTAAAAACAAAGAAAAAAAGAACGGTCACATAATGAACGAATATGTGTATACAGGGGCGGATGCAGGAATTTCCTGAGTGGGGGGTCAGGTGTTGGTCGGCGTACCATTTGTTTAGGAAACCCCTCCCCCTCTCCCTCGTTTCACGCCCTAAATTTTACACATGCAGAAATCAAGAGGGGGGTCAGGACATCCGGACCCCCCCCCCCCTCGAAATCCGGCCCTGTGTATACGTCTGGACCAGGGTGTAAGATAGGCAGGTGGGGAAACGGCCCATAGAAGGCCCACCGCGCCGCCGTGACCGGATTGTTTACTCGGCTGCTTGCGGGTACTCCCGATTTGCGACAGATGGCGCTGCGGCGAGAGGAAAAAAATCGGAATCGTATTTGCATGGAACTTTATGGGAGAGTGCGCAAAATAAACCGAGAGCACGACAGTCCTCTATAGAAAATCCACGAGAAACCATCTCTGTCAGTTTAGCCGGTCGCCACCGGTCGCCAACCTGGAGTGAGAGTTCGCGGTGCTCCACATAGATGGCGCTACAGAAAAAGAGAAAACCGAGGAGGACACAATCCGGTCGCTCATTCGGCTCTCGTTTCCCCACCTGTCTATCTTACACCCTGGTCTGGACTTTGTGTGAAATGAAAGCCTGAAAACAATAATTTATTTACTTGAGTACTTCAAGACATTTTTTTTTTCTCTCAAGGGGTATGAATACAGTTAGTCGAGATAATAACAAAATCGCCATATCACGGTATGAGTGAATATCAAAGGTAAATATTAGTAACTCAGGCAGGTTGCTACAATTCCAGAAATTGTTGAAAAGTAATTTATCAGAAGTATTGCGTTACACAAAAAATCCTCATTTTCATGGTTATTATTAAGGTGAAAATAAAACCAAGTTCTTATATGATTTGTTTAATAAAACGACCGGAACCTATGCGCATTATTTCAATCGTATACAAGTTCGTGTAGAACCTTAGAGACACTTAAATATTTATGGAACATAATATTTCATTCCTTTCACTTGGGCAGTAGTGAAAAAAAAAGCAAAGTAAGTTTATTGTAGGAAAAGTTGCCACGAGCATTGTACCGGCAAGCGCTAGTGTGATCACAAGTGAGCGATGCATCATGTTAAACACCGCACATTATCAGCCGTGCTGCAATGAACGAATTGCTTCTCTTTCTGTATAAAAATTCACGACGCTAACTTAATTTTGATCGTGCGTTTGCTCTAATTTGTCGAACAAATAAAAATGTTCTATGGCAGCGATGTGTCCAATAATAGAGCCTTCTTCAATAATTTGAAGCGACCGATCGATAAAAAACAGTAGTGATAAACAGAAAAAAGAAAAACAGGAACGTTATGAACGTTCATGCATTGACCAGGATAACATGACTGTGATCAAGAATGCTTTATCATTGTAAATGACACAATTGTCGTGAATGAACAAACCTTGATGTGGTATGTAGAGTTATTTTTTATCGAATTGAAACATTAAACTAAATAAACCCGGAAGATTTCGTAAATAAAAACCGCTGAATGTGACGAGTCTTATCGGGTTTATTTTTTCTTTTTTTCTTTCTTTCCTTTTCCGATTCTTTTACGTTTATTTTTCTGTTACGTGCAAAAAAACCTTCAGTTGCAGTCAGCGCCCTTAACTGCTTACTTCTCGCGTTGTTGTCCTTTATTTATTTCGTGCTGTATTTTCCCGTTGGACATGCACTAACTCGCAAAAATACAAGCCTTGATACAGGTAAGACAGCCGGCATATATTCACGACAATTAAAGTTTCGCCATTTAGTTGACTGAAAGGTGCAGTGCAATCGAACAAGGCGGTTTAACTCAAAAGTAAGAAAGTTTTTTTCACAACATATTTTTTGGTTCTATATTTCAAGACGAGCTACTTTGAACCAAGAGATGTGTTCTGAGGCAAAATATGAACTATAGTATAAGGAAACTCTAGAGTGAAATAAATTGAAATGAATGGTGGACGTTGCAGAAATAAATATGGAACGAACTTTGCAAAAAGTGATACATTAAAAATCAAGCCGAATTTCAAGAGAATGAAAATGCATGGTATGTAATAATGAATATCAACAAATAACATCTTTCTTTTAAATGCTTTGCTACTTCTTATTTAGACAGTAGGTTTCAATTACTAATTTTTGATACTATCGGTCGAGGACGTAGTTATATGAAAAAAAAAAAACTGCGTTGTAATGCGAGTTTTTTACGAGCCAAAGATAACCGTGCACCTGCCAAATCACGGATAAGTAATTATCAGTCTTCTCTAGGATGCCCACACTCTTACCTTGGTGACTTTCCTAGCCAAATTATTTGAGAAAAATTATGCCAACGAACTCTCTTGTAAGACGAGTGTCAGCCGAATTACGTTTTCAGGCTATTGGCCTTATATCTTGAGTATGTTTTTTTTTTTTTTTTTGAAGTTCGGGAATTGCGATGTCAGATCCTGAACATATACTACGATATATGAATTCTACACAACTCACGAGCTGGTATCAAAAACAGTAAAGAACAACAACAACAACAGCTGGGAGACCTTTAATTTTTCGTAGCTTCATTTGAAAGGGTTCTCAGCAAATGCTGACTGTCCTCTTTCGCTGTTGGAAACACTGATAAAAGTGGTGCATATAATTTTAGACAGCCTGGATTACATAAAAGGTAAAAAATACCTAGATGAGGCATTTTCCAAGCTAGTGTTCGTCACAGATTGATCTATAAGACAAAACGCAGCATTTCCAATTATCGCTGTCGCAAAATAAATACAAATTTCTATTGAACAATAAACCAAAGTTAAAGGAAGGGTCCTACCAAAAATAATAAAGTCTACTCATTTCATTCGAAGCTTCGTACTAGTTTTTTTTTTTTTATATCACAACAAGGGCCTAGTTTTAAAAGTGCGAATGATCACGTATTTTATCAATAAATGATGTTAATTTAATTAGAGCTGAATTCGCGTTTATAAACCACCAATTCAAGTACTCAGCTCAAAAGTGGGGTAAACCAAATGTGATAAGGAACAGATTAATTTTCCCCTTGTATTTTTGTCGCACTACACTACCCAATAAAAATTCCTTTTTACAATTAAAAAAAAAGTTTGTTCTAACTGCGCGTGCTCACGCTTTCCCGCACCTTTGACTGCTTAGCAACAGATCATTGGCCCGGGGTTTATACCCCGGGTCAATGTAATGATTGAGTATATAATATACCCCGGGTCAATGTAAGGATTGAGTTCTACGGGGCTGAGAAAAGAGAGTGAGCGCGCTCTCCTTCGATTATAGAACACGACTTTTCCAGGGCCTCTTACAACGCTGTGGAACGCTTTTCTGGGAGTTCAGTCAACCAGGTACACGTGATGTTCGTAAAAACGCACGCACGCACGCACGCACGCACGCACGCACGCACGCACGCACGCACGCACCCCCACACACACACTCACACACACACAAACAGGCACTTCGTTTTTTCTTTATATGCATCGATATTCTTTGCCGGACAGCCAATGTTTTCTTTTAAAGGAAATGGTGGTGCACTGCAGCAAAAGCGAAATACGCCATTTTCTTCGCGCAACGTCTGCTTCGTCCCGAGTGTTGGCTGTTTTTGTCTTGAGACAAAAGTCGAAAAAATGTTTAGGGATACTCACCGTCCATGCGTCTTTGGTGGGGTCCAAAGGCGAATCAGCGTTTTGGGAAATCGAAACGCAATACTCGAAAGAACATAACGTTAGGAAAACTAGCAGACGCATGTTGCAGTATCTTAGGAGAATACACCGGATGCCTTTCAGAGAAACGCCTTTATATTCCAGTTCACATTCCCCATGCGTAATAGTCCCAGCTCTTGTGCGTTTCGTAGTGGACGGAAATGTCACTGAAAGCACAACGACCTCGCTTGACTCAGAGGACGTAAAAGGTGACGAACACAAGCAAGATCCGGCATGATACTGAAAAGAGCTGCAAGGAATACGGAAGCAGAGCATAGACAGCAGGTTTTTTATAATCAAACTGAAACGAAAGCGTGTTTGTCTTTTTTTTTTTTGTACTTTTTGGGGGGGTCAAGGACCTACTGCGGATGCGTCATTTCTACTTAGAGGTTGAGTACTTCCTCAGCTTGATTTTGCGAACAGTGTTCGCTTATTTACAGTGTTGCGTAAAGTAGATCTAAAGTACCTGAAGTGAAGTACAAAATAAATGAGGGGTTATGTACTTAAAGTTCCCAATGTGTAATGTACTTCAAGTGAAGTACTATAAATACGATGCACTTTCAAAGTAAAGTGCAAGTACTTTTTAACACAATCTTTTATAATGCGCTCTCGTCCCCTATACAGTGTCTTTTTTTAACCGGTATACATTGCTCAAGAATAATCGGAGGTGCATCACTTTTTTTTTTGGAAATGGCGGCATATATTGGCTAAGTCAAGTCGCCACAGAGCAATTGTTCTACTCTCGCTAACGAACTATTTAAAACAATACACTTATAAGGCACTTACTTGTATCGGTTTTATAGCCGTTATTACTGTACTCAGAGAATAGGCAAGATGACTTCTCAAAAGGAGATAGGGTGTTTTCACACGACGATACACCATTTTTTGTTTTCAAAGTATGGGAATGTAGTTTGAAGTCGGGAGTTGTATTTTTGTCGGAAACCACTAGAAAAAAATACTTTATTAAAGTACAAGTATATGCTCAGAGAATGTACTTCAAGTAAAGTACAGGTTTTCTAAACCTGCTTTAAGTAGTTCTCTAATTACCATGTACTTAAAGCACTCCCAAGCACTGCTTGTTAATTTTTTTTTTTTATGTAAACACATCGGGGGAATGTTTTTCGAACAATCTTCGATTCTTGGAAGACCTGCATATTCTGAGTCTTGGGAGGAAAGGCAACTCAAAAAGGTCACCTTTGCGTTGCCCTTTAGCTCGCGATTCTTCAAGTACAGCAGAAACTACGGGAGCACAGATGATTTTCAGAGCGGGTGCTGCATTTTGTTGCCTCCTTTGGGTGAGGATGCAGTGTGTACACCTCCTGTAGCGGGCAAGAGTTTCCATACGTTGGGGAGATGCGGGAACATGCCCTTTCTTCAAATGCGTCAAGTCTCTTTGAGCTTCGGGACAAAAATAAACGCCAGTCTTTGGCGCTAATCCAGAAGTTCCTCGACCGCATTCGCGACATGTCCTCTCCCAGCGTGTCGTAGCAGGATTGTTGCAGTGGGGCGCTCATGAAATTTGTAAGGAATTTCAGACCGTCCAAAACATTACCCCCTCCTCTCTTCCTTTGCTTACGCCACATGCTTTGTCCTTGTCTTAACGCTCTGTTTTAGACCAAGGTGCTCATTAACCTACTAGTCGAAACGTACATTTTAGCATGCTTCCCCCCCCCCCCCCCCCCCGCAAATATCAGCTGATCTTCCAATATCTTACCGCTTTTTGTGCAGGGATTTTTGTTGATGAGCAAACCTTCCACTAAAATTCGAAATTAATTGGTACTTTGAGTAGAAGCTACTCGGAAAAATAGTTATAGTAAACTACTATTTACCGAAATAAAAATGCAATCGGAAGTTACTAAACAGAAATGACACACGCGCTGTGATCGCATTCAATATCACGAAATATAACCGAGATCACGGAAGTCATACTCGTGCTCGATATCACGCTCACTCATTGCACAGCCGTTCACCGATATCACCAAACTCAGTTCACTCACGGGTTGACTCGCTCGGATGCTCGTTGTCGGAGCAAGGCCAAGAAGCTGGGACCAGCCGCAGCTTAGCCAGAAATAGATTGGCTCCCAGACAAACTAAAAGCCTGGCTGGAAAGCGGTAGCAAGGAAAACGCCACTGTTTTAACAATTTTGTTTGATTTTGTTTCTTCTCTTCTTTTTAATAAACAACCGAAATACTTGTTTCGCTTTATTTTATTTTTCGGGGACCGCCACCCCGGGAGAGCAGAAAGAAAGGAACCTAGGCACGAAAGCGCTTCGAACGACGACAAAGAGAGGGTGCGAGCGAAGACATGGCCGACGCGGGTCGCACAGCGGAAAAATTTTCAGAAACCTTTATTATCTACCTGAGAGTCTGCTGATCTTGAAAATGGCATACCTATACTCTGTTTCATACTTAGCGTGCAACGCTGTCAAAGCTACTGGCGCGAGCACGTGGCTTCATCTATGGTTTCGTTTGCGCGAGAACGCGTGCAAATGATCAGTGAGATCAAGCCCCACGCTCGCGCCAGTAGCTTTGACAGCGTTGCACGCTAAGTATGAAACAGAGTATATTGATAACTAATCTACTGAATAGACCTACTGCTAATAACCCAAGCATCAAGGAGAATGCAGGGAACGGTGTTCCACGAGCCGCACGTGCCGGAGTCTGCAACAAGAGCCTAAAACAAATGGCATCTTGCACGCGTTTTCGTCAACGCTTTATTTTGGTTATTTATTTCGAATCCTTTATCTGGGGAAGGCGCGCGCGTACGGCGCGTGCGGCGGTGCGAGCGCAGAGCTTTTGGTCGCGCACACTTAAAATCCACGGAACCCAAACTATATAAAAAACTGCTGTAAAAAAAAAAAAAAAAAAAAAAAAAACACGATTGTTAATGCGCACGCGAGCTGGTGTAGCGGATCTGAGCGCGCCTTTTCTTTTTGTTCGTGCACCACTTCTTTGCTTTCGAAGACGCGGAGAGGGCACAAAACGATCGTCGACTGCGCGCCTTCCAAAAGCTCGAAACAATTAAATGCCCTCCTCGGTTATAGTGACTACGACAGTGCATAGCGCTCCACAGTGTTCAACACAAACATCGATTGAAAGAGGATATGAGAACGCTTATAATCTTTGGGAGATACGAATATTTTTTTTTAAATTTTGTGCAGCTTGATCTACATGCGGGCTGCATACCACGCGCGGCATGCGTTTTGGACGGCATCAAGAAACAATAGACACGGCATACGTACGTCTACATTTCTTTTTTAATTGACATTATAATTTTGTAATGCGAGTTACTGGGCAGGAGAGCTGTTAAACAATCTTAGCAAAAAAAAAATTGCGGCAAGAAACAAAAAAAGGGGGACAAACGCAACGCCGTCTCTAAAACACAGTTGCAAAATTTATTCTTACACAATCCTTTTTATAGAGGATACTCCAACCACACCGCTGACATCAACGACCGTCAACACCACACTCAAGTCAAGTGGACGAGGCAGCCCCGAGAGCGAACAGAAGCGTCGCTGCGGTCGCTGCGCCCTGATCGGATGAGGTGTACCGTGATGTCAGGGGAAGGACTCCGCTCCGCGATCTCGCGTCCGGCTCGCTTCGCTGCACCGGTCCTGGTTTGGCGTTGTGTGCCGCAATCACTTCGAGGAGCGGGACCTCGTTTACCAGGACTACAAAGCGCTGGGTTATGCCGATATTGACGTGCTTCCGTACATTTTATAAGCCTGCTTGTCACTTTTACCTTTATAATTAGGTTACAAATTCCGAAAGCTATCGGCGGGGGCAATTCCGCCGATGAACCTTACCGTCCGTCCACACGACACAAGGCAATCTTGCGAGGGGTCGGTGAAGCGGTGGCGTAAGTTTTCAAACTCTGGAATTTGGGTTCTTGGATGTTCATGATTTACGTGAATATTACATCGATCCGCCATGCAGGCATTTGAAATGGCGTTTATATCTAGGGCCTTTGGGCGGTCGGCAAATTAGCTCGCGACCCCGACTCTGCGCGTGCCACTCTGCATGCGCTGGTTCGCAGCTGTTTTAAAGGCCCTGGGTCTGAAGGCCCTTTGAAGTGATCGTGGAACAGGGCTGTTTTACATAAATGTAGCTTCTTCGTGAAATAATGATATAGTTCGTACACGTACGCAGGCATGTCTTAGTTTTCAGAAGATGCACAATTACTAGAAATTAGTTTGTACGGTAGGAGGAAAAACAGCCGAATCGCCCCAAGCTGCCTGTAAGAGATTGTCACAGTCGCCCCCGCCTGGAGGTTAGAGGCGCGATTCCCCCTTGACGGTTCGCCCGCCGGCCCTCTACAACGACTGAGAACAATATTTATTTTTTGTTGAGGCCGGTCAGCCCGAGCGGTTGGCGCGTGTGCTCAAGTTGGGGAAGAACGGAATGAGCTCAGGCGGACACATGGAGTTTGAACAATAAACAATATATTTGCTTGAAAAAAAAAAATTGAAATATAAATTTTAAGGTTTGGCACATAGGCAAACAATGCACAACAAAAAAAAAAAACAAAAAAAAACCCAAAGTTCCACAGAAAACTTCAATCAACATTAAGCCAAAAGAAACAAAAGAAAACGGTCGGGGCGCTACAGCAATACGCAGGGCCGGAGCACAGACGACAATTCAACAAAGCAACCAAGCCACGGACGGAGGGCAAGTAAAAATAAAACGTCCGGAAGAGTAAAGTCCGAAGTGTACGGACGGGTCTCACTCAAATTTGGTGACGGAGGGGATCGTCGGGCTCTCGGCGGTGGTGAGCTGGCAGGAAGACGGCATTGATGACGATGAAGAAGACTGAGAAGATATCGCGTTGTCGGGCTGCCATTCCCGCCGGCTTCACCCCGCAACCACGAACGTCTTACCCCCTTGAAGACCCAAAAGCTCTGCCCCGTAACTATCCGCTCCCCACGAAAACCGTCTCAACCGTCCCTCTCTACGGCGATGTATTTCCCGCCTTTGTCGGCGCCGAAGGCACCACCGAGTACCGGGTTTTGTCTTGCCGTTTTCCGGTCGCCGCAACCCGAGCCGGC